GGACGCTAGTCCGCAGGCCCCCGGGCCCTTCAATAAAGCGCCGCACAAAACTTATCCGAGTTTTGTGTCCTTTATCATTCGGGCAACACAGGGACAGACACACACAGCCAGCCCAGCCTCTACTCTGTGCCCTACCTGTCCGTGATGGCCTCCATGAACTCGTCGATCAGGTCATCGTAGACCTGCGAGCGGTCCCTCTTCTGGTAGAGCCCCATGTAGAAGGGATCCTTCAGCAGGGTCTGCAGGAGCAAACAGGCAGGGACGGAGCAGGTGAGCCCCTGCCCAGGGCACACAGCCCTACAGCAGTGCCCTGAGACTGCAGCTGCCACACACTGCTGATGGCTGCAGCAATACTGTCAGCAGCAAACTGCGTCAATACATCTAATTCCCATTCCCAGCTTCTTTAAAGTCAGCTCAAAACTGACTGCCTGTTTTGCAGCAGTGTTCCAGCACTCCAGTTACTTCCAGACGCACCCCTTCATGGGCACTTTTAAATCGCTGTACAACGAACTCCAAACCTTTTACCCTTTGCATAAAATATTTGGGTTTATCTTAAATAACGATGCTCAAAAAAAAAAAAAGAAAAACCCTAGAATCCTAGAACTCCCTTTTCTAGGAAAGCCCAGGCAGGGTTGGGCTGTGTTTGCCCCAACTCTGGCGTTCTCCTCCCTTTTTGGGGGCATTCCTTTTGAGCATATTCCTCAGTTACAGTATGGAACGGTTTTTTTTTCAAAATCCCCATTTTTATAGAGGTAACTCACTGTGTTATCAGTCCCAACGTCGATGCACACAGGCAGGCATTTATCTGGGTGTATCCCTGCACAGGCTGTGTACAAACACAGCTTTCCCACTGGAATCCCCATCCCGTACACCCCCAGGTCTCCAAGACCCAATATTCTTTCTCCATCAGTGACCACAACAGCCTGATGGGAAAAAACAAACAAACAAAAAAAAAGCAGGTCAAATCATACACAAACACTGAAATTTATGAAGGTTAGATCAATAGCAGCTGTGTTTTTTCCCCAGGTGAAAACTGAGGTAAGTTTGCACAGTCAAACAAAGAACAGATCATGAGGAATATTCTCCTCAACCCATAAACCTCACATTTAGGGTGAAACATTGATCTTCAAGACGTGCATTACCTTAATGAGCTGCATTCTGCCAGCATCACTAAAGAGCCAGAATGCATTACTTAATATTTATGTTTCCACCAGATACTAGTAAATCTCAAAAGACTCAGCTGAGTTGGAATAACAATTAGAAAACTAAATCACACCATGACCGTACCTTCACGTCGTTCTCTGGCCAGTTGTTCACAATTGACCTTATGTGGCCTCTGTCTGATATGGAAATAAATAATCCCCTGAAAGAAAAAAAAAAAAAAAAAACCACAAATCAGAAATATTTTGGAGGCGACAATTAGAAATTTCACCTTGCTTTTGTAAAACTAAATACCAAACAGGACAATTTAAAAATCAAAGTTTTACAGCCGCTGAATTAAATTGCTCGAAGGACAATATCTGTTCCTGTCCTGGGGCAGGGACCTGAGGAACCACCTGAACCAGCCCTGTTGTGCAGGGACCTGAGGAACAACCTGAACCAGCCCTGCTGTGCAGGGGCCTAAGGAACGCATCTGAACCAGCCCTGCTGTGCAGAGCTGAGGGTGATGTCCATAAAGCCCTTTCAATCCACACTCCTTTCCAGAGGCCCTGTCCTCACACAGAGCCTGATAGCTGAGGAGATAACCCCTGGACTCACAGAGCTGTGTGACCCTTGGAAGAGCTGAAAATGGGGCTGAAGCCCTGCACTTGGAGTATTTACATGACCCATCTCCATGCCTGCTTCCAAACATTCTGTTTCTCGATCTACACCGTGTCCTGAGATGGATTTCACCAAACTTTTCCTGCCCTGACATGGCACCAGCTGCAGCAGGATGAACATGACAGGAACCACTTCCAAACCTCGGGTGAGAACAGGAGGAAAGGCCAAAAGCAGTGTTTGTGCCCTTACTTTGGTCTCCTGAAGATGTGCCCGTACTGGGAGCAGGCCAGCCCCACGGTGGGCGTGTACACGATGGGCATCAGCCGCTCGATGTCGTCCTGCAGCACCCTGTAGAAGAGCTTCTCGTTCCTCTCCTGGATGCCCATGATGTAGATGTACCTGCAATCAACCAAAAAACACCCCTGGCTGTGTTCCCTCCCCTCGGGAAAGGCTCTGTCCCTGAGTCACCATGGGAAGCTGGGAAGAGAGCAGCGGTGAGATGGAGAGGCTGGATGGATGGATGGACACACTGGGAACAATGACAAATGTCACCACAGACAGCCCCAGGGATTTACTGCATTTCCTGCAGGGAGTCTCAGCACCCTTGTACACAAAATTACAGTGAAATTAATTTTCCATCCAGGAGATGGGAATCCCGGCACCAACACACACGTGCAGCAAACTGAGCCACACCACAAGGCTCATTCTGAAGGACTTACGTGGGGGTGTAAATTAAATCTGAATTTCTGCAAGTTTACCCACCAATCTGCTGTGTGTCTGTACCCATACCCTGTCCTGCTGACCCAACAACATGAAGATAATGAATTTGCAATCTGCCTCAGGCCACAGCAGCTGGGCACTCGGCCAATACACATGACAGGACTGCTTTGGACCAGCAAGTGGCATGCTGTGGGTTTAAGAGCCATCTCTCAGTTCTGATGAGAACAAAAGAGCTTTGATGTGGTCCAGCGAGCCCCAAGCCATCCCAGCTCTCCTCCTGCCTGTGGGAGACTGTATTTTCACAGGCAGAGATACACAAAGATTATGTGAAAACAGTAACGGGATGCTAAAAACATGGCATCCTAAAAATAAAACACAGCAAAATCCTCTGCAGTTCATCAGACCAGTGTATTAAGTAATAAAATATATTAAAAAATACACATTATGAGACTTAAAATTCTACTCTGGTAGTTCCCTTTTAGCAGTAACTACTGTGTAAGTTAAACACTGTTTTTGGTATCCCAAACGCTCAGTTTACCTTCATTATCACACGTTTTTACAGGCGGGGCTGAATGCCACCTGCTGTGCTCCAACCACCTGCCACTCCACCTTACACATCACAGAAATACAGGCTGCAGGCAGGTTTGCAGCTTTGTTACTGATTTTCACACGCCTCTCTTTTGCTTTATGAACATGGAATATTAAAAAAAAAAAAAAAAAGTAAAATAAAAAAAGCTTCCCAACCTCATCTGGCTGTGGGATGAAAGCAGTTCTGTGTGGCCAAGTGAAAGCAGCACCCAAGAACTGAAACCCCAGCGGAGGCACTGGTAATAACCAAAGTTTCCCATTTTTGACAGTATTTTTCCCATTTCCATCTCATTCCCAGCCCCAGTATCCCAGCGCTTACTTCTCCAGGGGGTCGGTCATTTTGGCCAGGTTCTTGTGGAAGCGCAGGGCCTGGATGTCCTGTGTCTCTATCTTGGGAGGCAGGAGCCCCTGCAGGCCCAGCATCTGCCGCTCGTGCAGCGTGAAGGCCATGCCCTGCAACGAGAGAGGCGAGCACAGCCATCATTCATTGCTGTTTGTCC